TACATTTTTCGGAAGAACTCTTTGTTTGAAGAAGCTGGGCAGGGTAAAGCTGGCAGACTGGAACACTGCCCTGATGTGTTGTGACAGACATGTAATCTGCCATTTGACCACTGGTTCACACATCAGTGTTAATGTGAATGTGACACCTCTCAGCATACTGTTAATCAGGCATTACTCTTCTGTCTAAAATGTGGAGATGTGGAGTAGACTTTTATTCTTTTTAGAAGACTATGCAAAAAAAATCTAGTGAAATGAAAATTTACAGCCATAAAGGCAAACTGATTGACAGCTGCAAATCATAGTCACAGCAACATTGATATATACATATTTATAGATCCCTAGATTTCAAAACTAAAAAGGTTCATTAGAACATTCTGCTTAATCTAACACATTCTCATGCAAAACATGCAAGGAGTCAAAAATACAATCCCATGTCAAGTGTAAGGAAACCTAGAAGATGGTCTTCCATATTCCAGAAATTAGATCAATTCAGCTTCTTTTCCTCACTAACACATTTTTTATCTTCTGGGTTTTGTTTTGTTTTCTTTTCTCCTGGTGTTTCATCACCAAAGTGCCCAGGAGTTCATCTGCTTTCATTCAACTGAAATGCATGTACCAGATGGTGCAAATAGCCCAGTATATTTCAATCCTGTATCCATGTCAAAAAACAGGCAGACAGCTGCAATTCTTGGTTGCTGCACCTCATGGTATCAAAGGCTGGCTAAGAAGAGTGACACTGCTTGACAATGAATAAGATTTTTCAGGTCTGGCAGGGAAGTTGCTTTGGAAGCTAAAATCCCTCTTCTTCTCTGTAGGAGTTACTTTTCATGATTAATTAATTGTGTTTACGCTAACCTACAAAGGATGTAAAGATATAAAAATAGAGTTACAGAAATGAGTCTTGCTAGGATACTTTATAGCAACCATTTCATCACCTGTGTTCAGAGTATATTACATACTTGCTTGTTAGAATCATAATGGAAATTGACCTACAATATAAAGTTCTATGTGACACTGTTCAGCATACATTTACAGGAGGACTGCTGCAATCTGTATTTGCTGTATGAACAGGCTAGACCACTGATTCTTATGTCCTGAAGTTTGAAAGTATCTTAAGTACTAGGGAGTGCGGTGAAGGTAACTAGCTGCTTTCATCTGATAACATCTGCTGAGAATTTGACCACAAGACTTTCAAAATATCTCTGTAATATAGCCTTACACCTCAAAAGCCATAGCTCTAGGAAAATGATTATATGAGATTTAGAAGAGTGCTGAGTTACATTTGTCTTGGAAAACAGAAACTGGAGTTAGTAGTTGAAAGCTGTTTGCGGCAAGGGTCAATATTCACTCTGTTGGTTTTCTTACTCCTAGGTGCTATAACTAGCAAAGAGTGCAAGAAGAGTTATAGCTTCATATTCATTCTTCTGTCATGTTACTCAAATAACGGAAAACTCATGTATGTGTGATACCTTTGGACAGCAATGCTGTGCTTTCTCACCCTGTCCTCTGTCACATCTACAAGAGCATGTGTCCTTTCAAGACCTAGACAAAGTACTCTCCTGCTTGCTTCAGAGTTACCCGTGCATTTTTTATCTTCCCTTTGTTTGCAAGCTGGGGTATAAGAATTTTAAAACCTACTGGAGCATTCTGGTTTCACTAATGTTAGTGGTCTGTGGGGTGACTTATAAGTGGTCCAGGAAGGGACATACAGAACTCTTTTACTTGCTTAACCTCCCCATCAGGGTTTAAAGATTTTCTCTGTATTTTTTATTTTATTGAAAATTCATCATTGTTGATCCCCAAACAATTTAATATTTTTTTTTACCACTGAAGAGACAAAGACCTGATTTGGAAAGCTATCTTACTTCCTGAGCAATTAATTGCAGGGCAGAACAGAGTACCACAGAAACATTCGCATAGCTGAAAGGGCTATCTTATAAAGAATGAAATAGTTGCACATTCATTTTGCATAGGTATACGTGTACCACATATATGAATATTCTTGTTGACAAATCTTTTATGTGTATGTGTATATGTATTCAGAAGCTCTGGTTTGCCTCCAGTCATTGTAGGTGACTCTTCTCATGTGCATTATAGTTACAAAAGTATAATTTTAAGCAGAGATAATACTGAAAAGAAGTGTTCGTTTAGCTAAAGGCCAGTAATAGGTTAGGTAAGAATCATTGAACAGGACATAACAGCAATTTATATTCACTAGAAAGGTGTAAAAAGGGCAGGAGATACATGTTATTAAATGTGATAGATAGGAGTGATATTAAGACTAGTTGAATGAAAGTAGTGAAAGAAAGTTTAGGCTGTCTACCTGAAAAAATCTGGAGAGCAAACTAGTTGCACTAAATGACTGTATAATCTCTATGGGGAAGCATTAACAGTCCAATTGCTTGAGATTTTTGAGAGGCCAAAGGATCAGCAAAATACGTGGTGGGGAAGAAGCTTGAATTGGCAGGTAGATGGATCACCTGACCTATTAGTTCTTTTCTATTGCAAACTTCTATGACTTTATATGGGGAAAATTCCTTTTCAACCCACGCTGGCAATCTGTTTATGTTCTGAAGTATGATGATTGACATCCCTTTTAACTTTTAACCTAGAGAATGTCTCTGCAAGTGTTATTCCTACATATAAATGTCTAGTGCTTTTAATAAAAAAAAAAAAAAAGTCTCTCAATTAGGGGACTGTATCCATGTGCAAATGCAGAATGGAGATCACAACAGAGTCTGAGGTGTTATAGCGGCATGGGCAGAACTCCCACTCAGGAAGGATGGGACGTTGAGAAGGAAAAGGGAGCATTTGGGGCTTAAAGACTAGAGAGGCAGTGGAGGCAAACAAGTGAAAATTGGATTAAAACAGTCAGAAAGAAAGGTATCATTTTTGTTGAAAGGAGGAATAAGAAAATAAGAGAAATGAGGTGGTGGAAAGGTATAAGAACAGAGAAGCAAGATAAGGAGAACTAATTTATGGATTAAAAGAGCAAGAAGAACAAATAACGATGTGCTCCTGTTAATATGGTGACTACTTCCTATCTGTAAGTGTTTACACTTGGTTCATCCTCATGCAAGCTTTTTTTTTATTTTTTATTTCAAACAGTGTAATACTTAGTAAGCATCTCTGAAGTACAGTGTGTATTTTTGTAACAAACAGTGTATTTCACAACTAAAACCCAGCCTATCCACCTTTCTTGTTAAAGCCCATCAACAGATAAGAAGATGTATAAAACTATAGCACCCTAGTAGAAAGAAATGTCATATTCTGCCATTCTTTACTTCATTTTGCCCTGAATTGATGGACTGGTGATGGACGGGAAAACATCATGAAAGAGATACTTAAGAAATGCTAAACTAGCAAAACTTAATATATTTAAATAATATTACCAAAAACATTCTTCAAATTTTATGGCATTAAACTAAAGCCCAGACTATAAAAAGACAAAATTATTACAGAGATTTCCAGTTACTCAAAAATATCTTTGTGATGTTACTTGTTCTGACTTAAAGAACTTTGTTGAAGCATCAACTTCATTTCTGTTGAGGGCTGTAAAAAAGATTGAAGCCGGGGCCTGGAATATGAACAAACAATGCTTCTAAGTTAGTGCCCCACAGAATATTTTAAAATTATTTAACACAAATCATCTCAGTGTCAACAACTCATCACAGATAAACTATCTAATTAACAGAAGCCATCATAGTATTTGAGAACTCAGTCTTGGCTCAGTTGATATACCAGAAGGGCACTCCTTGATAAGCAAAAATTATAAAGGAAGGTTTAAAAAACATTACTGCCTGAAAGTAGCTTCGTCTTAGTTTTAAATTAACCCTCTGCTAGGTTGGGTTTTTTAGTTTGTTTGGCATTTTTTTTAATTTCTATGAGATAACAAGCACAGGTTGACCTCATATTCTTAGGTATATTCCATGCTAAGATTCTGTAAAATTGGCTATTTTATGATGCAATATTTTTTCAGTGTCTGTCATAGACTTGAAACCATGCCAAAATGACAGCTCAGTTAACAAAATTGTCCCCAGCTTTCGTAACCACTTCTGAGATAGTTTTATCCCACTTCCTTAAAATTGTAAAGGTTGTCAAAATCTTGAGGTCATAAAACTTTACTGTAAAACACTTTTAGGCATCAAAATGTTGACTGGTTCTTGCAGCACCAAACCTGCGAATCCAGGTGCTTCATTTCTCTATATGAAGCACCTATATGTGGGGAGAGAAAGCTGACAATGGGATCCGTAAAACCATAACATAGATTAAATGTTATCAAAATAGCTCATGGAAAAAAGTTGCAAAGAGAGATTTCTCCTAAGTGTCTGGGAGGTAATATTTACGTGGTTAGATTGCAGGGAGACAATGTAGGACAATAAAATTCATTATCTTAAAACTGCTCCTGAAAGTGGTCTTTTTCACAGAGGAAATGTGAACACTAGATAAGACTGAAAGACCATTTTCTTTCCATCCCACCCCAGGTAGATTGTTTGCCATTCATCCAGGGTATGGCAGGCATGGGTCCAATCACATCTTCTGCCTAATGGCGATCTGAACATGTTCCTTCCAGATAAATGGTGTGGATGCTCAGCTGTAGGACAATCTGAAGTAGTCCCACACACTTCATTGTAAAACAGTACTGGTATGGAGTGATTGAACTCATTATGCCAGAGTGAAAAGGGAAGACATCATGTCCTAAAAATGCCACTGATAAAATGCCAATATACAAAAAGCAGTGCAAGGACATTCCACTCACATCAAATAGAAGGTTTTACTTGTTAGGTTTTGAATGGTGCATATACTTTTGCTGGTCTTTTTACTCCATGAAACAATGAGAGATGTAGCCTGTGTCTCATGGTAATAGTTTTAGTTTCCTCACAAATGTTATACTATCTCTCCAGTGAATAATTTAAATTTCCTTCCCTCTTGGCTGTGATCTTGCCCCACAGTACATATTATCCAAGAAGAACTGACATAAATTAGAAAATCTTTTTCAGCTGGTTCCACAACTATCAGGTGACAGTCTCAGAGGATTTTAGTTCTTCCAGGGAACTGCAGGACAACTGCAAAAGGGGAAGTCTGAGTAACATGGTAAGAAACATTAATGTATAACAGTCTGGTAATTATAGGAATTATACTTCATGTCTGAGCAAAAAAGGCTACTGGTATGAACTCTGTAATATGGAGGTGGTAAAAAAGGGACACCAAACTGAAGGGTTTTCCTGAGTAACACTGCAGAACTGTTTTGGGGTTTTTTTGGAACTAAAAGAGATCACAATCCTGACATCAAGTGTTGCAAGAGAACATTTTATCTTAGTTATTAGTCCATTCCTAGAGCATTCCCATGTTTGAACAAAGCATATTATCCACCATCTTAGCAAATAGAGATGCTAAAAAAGAGTAAAAAATGTGATGAAAACAGAATAACCTACAGGTGTTATTCCCAATATATTATTCAGGTTTTAAACCTTGATCTGACTGAGATGTATTGTCACATATATGGGGTTATTTAGGCATCTAACTCAACTACCTACCTTTGGAAATTTGAGCTCTAGCCTTAAAAAATAAATGAACAGAAAAGTAAACAGAAATATACATATGTGTTATAATAATAATAATAAAATCTGTCTTAATTTTTTCATCAAAACACTGTATAATCCAAAATTTTTAGTGGAATAATGAGAATATGAGTTGTTGTCAAGTGAAAATTCTTGGAAATAAATGTTCTCATCTTTCTTTGAAAATTTTGAATGCTATGAATTTTGAAAAGATTTCTTACAGTCAGTTAATTAAAAATTATTGCTTGGTTTCAATTTTGTTTAACTTGCCAGAGCTATTGAGGAAGGCTATGATAAGGAAAACAGTTAAGTCATAATGATCAATTTAATGGTGTCAACATGTCATGCAAAGAATCAAATGTACAGAAATTAATTTATTTAGCTTGGCTTTTACCTGGCATTACAGTAGAGATGATGTTATTCTAGGAAAGTTTTGGTAAGGAACGTAGGAGTACTGACTTGAAAGAATCTGCAGAGATCACTGCACCTCAAATGTAGGCAGCCTTCTAATAGATCTGGAATACATGCCAGTGTAACCCTATCACCTCTAATAAAATAGACGGAAAAAAATCACAAAAGCTGTCAGCTGCTCAAGGAACATAGCTGGCAAGACCAAAACAATTGACAGTGTGTTTGATCTGCTCCATATACAAAGTTTTGTTAGACATTTATCATTACACAGGTTTATACAACTTGATATATAGTTTATGTTGTTAGAAGACTATTTTACTCATTAACACTCCAGAGAGGCTTCTTCATGCACTGCATTCACCATATACAGAGAAGGAGTGTAACCAGATATGGTTGTATTACCAAAGTCTCTTCTAAGTAGAGGGGCTCCCTATCTTCAGTACTTTCTTTCATATTTAATGAATGTAAGTTCTATTGAAGTTAGCAGCAGTAATGATAGTGGCATTCTTGTACATTCCAGAAAAGGTACATGTTATCTCAGATAAGACTTGCAGAAATAAATAATTTTTCAGTTTACTGGCAGTTTTAGATAATGATTTCAGATCAATTCAAATTAATGGCAGCTCTTGGACTATTTTCAATGTTTAACTTGCACACATATTGTTTCACCAGACATAGATATGCACAAAGTTGATGTTTTCAGAGGTCTTCTCCAAGTCTAAGGAAGATACTACATATATACCCTGCTGTCTTGAACAGTTCAAGCAAGATGTAACAACCCTCATAATTTCATAACAATGTTATAATTATTAATAAATTCGAAATGACCTCAATGAATTTGTTTCTATAAAAAGAATAACAAAATCCTAATCAAAAAACCAAATATTTACCACCACCACCACCAAGCCTCAGGAACATTAGGTTTGCCTTTAATCCACCTTTGTGATGTGACAAGCTAGGGATATCTAGTTTAAGTGAAAAGACTAATTTTGTAGAAAGATTATTCATTAAAAATGGACATTACATTATTTATTAAGTGTTGATTTGGATTTACACATGCTTTGCATCTACAATGAACACATGCAACAGAATGGCTGGAGTCCAAAACTGCTCTATACCATCACTGTATTTTCCTGAAGCAGACACTAGCAAGCATGCTGAAACAGTCTTTCATAAATGTTAAAAAATGGGTTGGTTTGAACCTGATAAATGTTAGAAAAAGGGCGAGCTTTCTGGGGATGGTTCTATCAAATTGGGATTAACATTTTCCACTTAGTCCCTTATGCTTCTGAAGAGGCTGACATAATTTAGTGGCTGTGAAAGTAACACCTTTGTCATTTTCATTGTACTTTATTTCACCTTCTCATTTGCGTCTTTTAAAAATAAGATGTCTAACTGAATACAGTAATCAATGTGCCATTGATTTATATAATGCAATTGTAATCTTCTCTTTTCTATTCCCTTCTTAACACAATTTAACATCTTATTTGAACAAGTCTCTTCATTGAGCTGTCTACAGTAATGCCTAGATATTTTTTTCCTGAGAAGTTACAACTAATTCTAGAGACATCATTATGTATAAATACTTTAGACTGTTTCCACTAATGACTTTTAGGGAGGTCTTATCTTTGTTGAGGCTTATCTGCTACTAAGTTGCTCAACCAGTTATTTTTGCAAAATTCACCTAAAGCTCTTTATAGTTCCTTAATTTAAATGATTCAAATGAGTTTACAATTTCAGTTGCTTTTCCACATTTAGTCTTTAACCTGTTTTCAATTTCAACATACAGAGTAAACAGTACTTTTGCCAAAACTGCTTTTATGTAGTTAACTCTCTGTTTCTCATACTGGAAATAAGAATTCTATTGCTGTTCTGTTAGCCTATGATGATCTAGTCACAATACAAACAACCATCAAATAGGATAAATACCTAAGAAATACCTAAAACCTACCTATTATAAACCTGACATACATAGCAGTCTGGCCATAGCTGCATGTCACAACATTGATTTATCCTCTTAAAATTGGTCTTAATCCTAGCACACTTGCCTACTGTCACTATGCCTGTTTTTCTCTATTATCAAATTTTTAATAGAAAAGACTTCAATAACCTCATCTGACTTTTGTTTTACTGTAGGCATTTCTGCTGGTACACGTGAATTAGTTTACAACTAAGTCACCCATGTCAAAACTACACCGTAGAGACTGAAATTGTGCTGGCAATGTAGAATATCTTGAAAGGGGGTTTTATATTTTTGGCAAGCAATGTTTCACCTCATTGTCTTCCCGTGAAGAACTGCTTGCACATCTCTGTAAAATTTGAAATAGTTGGAAAGATTTACAGAATTCTGTTCCATGATATCTCTTCTTAAAACAAAGAACTTGAAAATAATACTGTAGGACAGCATTCTGATTTCTGCCATTTTCACTCCCTTTTTTTTCTGTATTTTTCTAGGGCATGTACAGAGGAGTCCTAATCCATGATCCTGTCTCTTCGGTGCAATCACAATACAAGTAAGCAGTAAACACAAGAGATGTATGCGCTACCATACCACTTTTAGGTTGCATTCTATTCCTGTGTTTAAGAGTGTTAACTGTTACTGCAAAGCAGGTCACTGTTAGATGATTTTCAGTACAACCTAATTACCTGTTAATATACGTAAAAGCAAGCTCAATTATTTTAATTTTCTGTTTCTTCAGAATCTGGAGACAGGGGCAGTTACATCTACACATGTAACTGCATTACATTGCTGGATTTCCTAGAATTTCCCTCATTAAGTATTTTTTTTTCATTAAATCTGTCCATTCAGCCTTTGTATAATAGCTAAGGGTAAAGAATCTTCAACCCTTTCAAAAGACAAATTTTCTGCTATAAACAACATGCCATTACAACTCAACTGATTGCAAAGAATTTGGATTGCTGTGTGATTCAAGTCTTTCATTGAACTGATATCATCCACTCAACCTCAGCAATACCTTAGAGAAATACAAAGCAGAGTAACTGTCTTTTATATTATACTCTCTCAGTACAAGAATAATAGAGATGCCATGAACATTGCAGAGGTGTCACATTAGCTGCTCTGTGCTAGAGCTGAACTTAATAAAGGAAAGAGAACCTATTGTTAATTTTTTTTACAAGGATGGAATAGATGAACACTGCTTACAAATGAGCCTTATTTAGTTTTAAACACATTTCCCGAAGTAAATAGTATATTTCCCTAATTTTCATGTCTTTTGGTATGCTTCCAAAAAACTTGGAAGTGAATTAGTGTGCAATTTGCATCCAAATCTCAGCCAAGGGGATGTGGTTTATTATAATACATGGCCCTCCTAATTATTGAACAGCCCGAGAAAACTAGGCACAGTGTGCATCTGTTATTGCTTGACCACACTGCCAAACATAATTTGGCAAGCACAGAAATGTACATTGAGCAGACCTACAGTCTAATTTGCATTAGTTTGTAGTAATTATATGAAAGCTATAACTGAACCAAGCTTGTCCTCTCTTTTTAGATCACACCATTCTTTTTGAAAAGAAAAGAAATCTCAAGCAAATATCCAAAACAATTAAATAGCACACACATACACAACCCTGAGAAATTCCTTGTTTGCACAGTAGACTCTTTCAGTATTATTTAATCATTATCCAAATGTTATTTCTGTACATTCTGTAAAATATCAAAGAAAAGCTTTTTTTTTTCCTGCATTTTTATATAGACTTTTCTGTGTTTCCCTTTATCTCCATTCAGAAATTTTTCATCTTTTCTGCCAGATTCTAAAACCCTGTACAATTCACCCTGTAACTGGTGATTAAAGTCAGTGACATTTTTTAATTCAATTGCAAAGGAGGAAGGGGAGGAAGGTCCTGCCTTTTATAATTTGCCTTTGTCCCTTTCCATAGTCATTTAATCCAAACTCTACTCTGACAAAAAGGAAGCATTTCATGATAAGTCATCTTGTGTCACGTTAATGCTGGACAGCAGTGGCCAAAGATTGGAGGAGCCAGAATGTTATGGTAAAAATACCAGTAGATTTTGGCCTACAGAAGTTCCAAAAGACAATTCTTGCTTCTTCCCTTATTTTTCTAGTTAAATTGCATTTTGGGATATACAGACATGTACATCATGGCTCTGTATAAGAGGTGATGGGAAATGTAACGTAAGCCAGTAGATGAGAAATAGAGCAGAATCTCATCTACAGAAATTATAGTTTTATGACAATTCTTGTGTAAATAAAGTATTTTCATGAAGTGCAAGAGGATAGGGCATAAAAGGGATGAGAAAGAGAGCCAGATTCCATTCCCATTAATATGAATGACAAAAACTACTATTCACTCCAACAGCCAGGACCAAGCATAGAGGAAGGAGAGTTTTTTCTCCCCTTCTTTAAGTAAACACTGGCATTTTCTGCTTCAGCTGCAGGGGCTGAGAAGCAGAGGCACAGTCTTTGTTGTTGGTAAACAGCTTGACATTTCATAGCACTGGACCAGTCATAGAGCTTTCAATCTAGAGTTTGAGTATGAAGAAATAACTGTATAGTAGCTATGGAGTTAGGTATTCTCAGATAATTTAGAGTAATTATTAGCTGGCATATCCAGAGTCACATACAGTTACTGTGAAATGACCATAAGGAGATTATGTAAATGAGTTTCCAAGAGTGAAAATGCAATGAAGAATAAGAGTGAATTAAACCTGTGGAATATCGCTGAGTGAGTGAAAACTACTTCTACACTCTGATCACCTGCACAAATCTATTTTCATAAACAAATGAATTAGAGGGGAAAAGAAACCCTAATGAACCTAAGTTATTTCCAGGTACAAATGGCATTTCACAGTTGACCAAAAGACACCTAATCTGCTTTCACATAGTATGCAGAGAATAAAGGTACATTTGCTTATACAATACCTGCTGCAAAACTTCTTTATTTTCAATTTTATTTTTAAATGTAGTTCTACAATAAAATACTAACTGCATAAGCAAACAGCAAGAGATGAAAACAGAGCAAGTCTTTTTCCACATATTTCAGTGGCTGAAATAAAGCAATGGAGGAAAGAGCTGGGGGAGAGTACTGTAAAGTAAAACTGCACTGTTTTATTAGCACCAGAAACTGCTCCATAACGAGCAGTCTATCATTATCTAGTTTGATGGTATTTGGGGTTTTTGTTTGCTAATGGTATGATTAACTAAAACCCAATTTTTTAATAGTTATTGCTGCTGATAAAAAACAAGAAGTAGATTTGGTTAAAAATGCAGGGTTATTTTTGTTTCTTGTTTTGTTCTTTCATCAACATGAGAATGGTACTCGTCTTTGCACAGGCAGGGCCAGCAATAAAATTCCTCTTCTCACTGATCCCTACTGTTATTGAAACATTTTCTTATAGATATCAGTTTTACTATAGTTCAGATATTTTGCCAGAAGACATTCTTGCACTTTACATATTCCTTCTTTAATACACACAGTGCAAAGTTTTCTATGCTGCAGGCTCCTTATGAAAAGGGATTTCACATGCCTGGTTTTAAGCTTTTTCTTCTAATAGTCATATTCAGGATGAATAGCAAATAAAAATCACTTGGTTTTTGGAGCAAGAAACGAAAAGACTGCAATACACAGAAGATGGCATGAAATTAATAATTTTGGAATGAAAATCTTTTTCTCCCATTGTCTTCATTGATTTTCCCTAATCAAAAGGCTACCAAAAGGTAGCCATATTCATCCAACTTCAGACATGTCCAGAAATATGTGCTGTTTCAGAGAATCTGTTAGGTTTCCACTCTGAATTGCAAAGAATAGCCACTGAACTACATTCAGTTCTTACTTTGTAGTTAAACACCTTAAAATACCATGTTAAAACCACAGTTTTGGAGATACATACCCCAACCACTTCCTGTTAGTGAAAGCTTGCAAAGTTATATGTGCTACACAGTACCTGTATGCATTTCCCTTGAAGAAACTGATGGGCTTGTAGTAGTGCCTGAACTGTGTCTGTGTATTAATGGGAAACAGATATCATGTGACCTTCTTGCAACATGTCTTCCTAGGAAGTACTCATTCTCAACTTTTGCAAGTTGCACTAGTTTCTGACTGCACAGTTAGACCTGGTATCATTACTTAGAAAGAGCCTTTTGAGTGAATAGGCAGGTTTAATGACATATAGAAGACCTATTGGAACCTCCCAAAGTTTTGCACAAGGATGGCTAAGTTTAGCCTCAGTTAGGGAAATCACAGCCTTGAAATGAACAGTTTGGCATGAGTGAAGGTTATCTGGCTGGGAACTGTTTAGAAAGTATGCCTCCAAACATCCTTCTGTAACAAGGGTGGCATACAGAGTGGTAGCAAAGACAAGGAAAAGAGGGACTTGCATTTTAGTTTTCTTTTAGGATAGCTCCTATTGTCTATCTTTTCTCTTGAAAATAATTTATTTTCAAGATTCCCAAGAAGGAGAAAACTTTCTCTTTAAAATACAACTAGTCTCTAAGGAGTAGACCTTGTAGTCAGTAGTCACACTTCCTTGATAAGAGAATTTTTACAATGAAGTTTTATACTGAAAATGTGTATCATTGCTTGCTATTATATTAGTGTCTTTATTTAACTTGTCCTGTTTACAAGCCCAGCATCAATTCTCTTAGTTACATAAGTGTAAATCCTACTTTGTTTTTTTTTAATGCCATCATGTAGCCTTTTTGCCATCAGCAGTAAGGATTACCTGTGTCAGTGAGGTTTTTGATATACCTGTTTAACTAAGACTTCTTCAGAAGTGTTCAGAAGCTGTGCCTGTGCAAGCTCAGTGACTCTACTGAGCTGTGGAAGGAGTAGCAGGCTGGAATTTACTAAGTGATTCAGCTGAAGCTAGGTAACTGCAATAAAGTATGGTGCAATCAGACTTAGCTGTGTGGTATGTAAATAAACAGATTGTGGACATGAAGTAATGCAAATGAAATTATTTTCACTACAGTATTACAGATAAGAATGAATATGTGGAGGGGCTAAAAATCTAAAGAACCACTTTTGGAATAGATCAGAGGAATATATTCACTCCTGCAGAGTTTCATTCTGTTCCTTATGTGTATTTCTATGTCCTAGAGATCCTAATGGAAACTTGTTAATTTTAAGACTAAAGACGTCTCTAGGTTATCCAGACTGTTAGATCTTCATGTAACACAAGCACATCAAATTTTATCTTATTTTTTTTCTAAGCTAACTTACTTTTATCAGGTACCACACAGGCACCATCTATCTAAACAATCCAAACCCTACTGGCAAGGAAGTGCTATGCCAAGTAACACACAGTATAAGTTATCAGAAAAGGGGAGTTCCCACACCTTTATCTTTAACATATTTTATAGAAAAGGAAAAAGGCAGATTTGGATTAAGTATGTATTTCAGGGGGAATAAAAAAAGCCATCCATTTCTGGTGGAGATATTACAGGCAATGGTGAAATTAGCACTTGCTGAGTTAATTTGTTCCAGGAGTTGGTCACTGTCAGTGTCAGGAAAACAAAATAAAACTAAAATCTTTGTTTCTTAGGCTGTTTTTAATTTTAGTGACTTGTTCTGCTCTTTCTGCTAGATGAAACAGCTTTTTTCATACCTGGCAATCACATATGTGATTCCGGTGTCCTTGATGCTTTTGATGAACTAAGCAGGACCAGCTGCTTAAGTCTACTGCTTGAAAACAGTTTTCCAGCTTTGACTGTAATAACTTATTAATAATTCATAATCATAATTCATTGTCATTTCTATCAAAATTTTTTTTATATACATGCAAATGTTTATATGTTGTACCTCCTTCCTTTGAGTTTCTCTTTTTTTCATATAAAAAACTATGACTTTTCACAGATATGGAAGGAGATACAAAACAAAAATGCAAGATATTTTTAGACTTTGTGAGTGCAGAACTGTAGAGGGAAGATTCTAATTTGAGTAGCAGGTAATTAACACAGTGTTCTCTTGCAAAGGCTGTATTTTCATTATTAACAGTGTTATTTCTCTTTATGTTTTGTCAGTATAATGGCAGATGTAGGCCTGAGGTTAACCTTGACTAGCTACATTAAACTGAATTTTGTCTTTTCTTGTTTTCACTAATTTATAAAAGTTTACGTTGGTTGATGTAAAATACATCATTTCTCAGTAGCAAAAGACATAGCCTGAATCTTCAGACAGTGTGAAACAATAGCTCTAAGGGAAATGTAAATTGCTTGCATTCACTTCTGTGATGCTACAGTTCCGACACTGAATCAAAAGGTAACATTTTAAATGTTTTATCAAAATTCGGTAGAAATGCATTTCTTCAGTCTTCAGTAACATATTTCCTATTTACTTTTTCTACAACAGGATTATCCATGAGAACACTCTTACAGCCTAAGAAAAGTGAAATCCACTTGTTGAAGGGCTTATCATGCTGACTGCATTTAAATATTTAATTTAATAGAATTAAATATCATGTCTGCAAGACTTCAGACTGACTACTAAACCAGTGAGCATTAGACACAGAGCAACCCCATTTCTCCTGCAAGCTAAATTACAGGCTGTAGTAGAATACATATGGCCTTGAATTGCTAGGTACTATTATAAAGTGAATTTAGAAACCTATCTTGTAGTATTCAAAACTTGTAATTTATTCCAGTGTGGCTTATAATTCTCCTAAATATGACAAAAGAAACTCAATCATATGATTTACAACATAAAACTGACATAGCAGGGATTACATATGCACACATAATTAATAATCAGTGTACACTGTCTTTGTATGTCACAGAATACAATATTTAATATAGATGTAATGTTGTCTTTTGTGAATATTTAAACATTATGACGTACTTGATCTATTTGCTTAATTGGGTGATCATGCTAATAAATTCACAGATTAAATTATTTACTGGAAACAGAAAGAAGGTTAACAAAAACAAAACCCAAAAAACAAACTCATTTTTATTTTTAATGTGAATTAAAGAAAAAGGTTTATCTATTCTCTTAGACTTTCATGTATCTTGTCTCTCCCTGTTTTTTGTTTATGCTATTCGTTTTATACTTGGTCACCCTTTTTGCATTATAAAACCACAATAGATACCATATGTAAAATGTCATTAAGGACTTCCCAATTTAAGATCATTGTGTATTTGTATTCCAGTGAGTCTTTAGAGAACTGAAACCCAGGAGGCTGAAATTCCTGAATTTTCCCTCAAGAAAGAAACAGATTTTCTAGTGAAATCTAAACAGAAACATTAGGATCAGATTTTAATATCAATATTGTGATATCTAGATTGAGCTCATAGCTAGAAGGCAGAAAGAGACTGCTTTCTACACATATCTTTTCCTGTACAAGGCTATAGCATCTCACGGTTTTTTTGAAGGATTATTTAATTCATGTTGGCATTCACCAACATTTGATAAACATGTCACTCCTCACCAGGTGTTCTAACTGAAAGCAGAGATGGACGAAATATATTCTGCAGTCTACTAATGGCAGAGGACCACTATTTTGATGAAAATGTAAAAATTATAATTGCAAAAATATTTACAAAGTTACCTATGAAAATGAGGATGGCGAATGGAAGGGGTACACACATTAATGTATATGATTTTGTGCAAAGTTCTTTTTCACAAACAGAATAATTTTCATGCATTTGCATATTATATAATTGTTTTATCTTCTATGGTTTTTATTCAGTTTATTTAGTTTGATGATCAGTACCCATCCTAGGGTAAGTATTGTGGTTATGTCTGCCTAGGAGAAATCAGCCAAGAATTCTAACAACGTACCAAATCCTCTTCTCAAAGATATAATCTGCAGAGAGCATCTACTTCATCTGACAAACACGATTTCAATTCAGGAAATAGCTCACAATCACTCTATTGCGTCTGACATCAGCGGTATCCATGCAGCCATTCTGTGCAAACTCCCTGCTTTTAAAGGTCTTCCCATCACTGTTATTGGTCTCACAGATGATGAAGTATGACACTCCATAAACAATGAGCTGGGCCTTTTGTAGGCTGCTTTGCTTTTTTTGGCTTCAAACTGCCACTGAATGTCAAATCAATTTGGCTCTCATTAGAACAGCTTTATATGTGCAAATGTATTTGTGTCTGGTTGCCACTTTTTTTCTATTTTTGCCTTCCTTTCCCTTTGCTTTTTTTTCCTCCTCTCCCTTGGATGATGTCATTTTTCTCTAATCAAAGCCAACACCTGTTTCTCTAAAATAGGAGCCTCTGTGTAGAGCTCTTTATCACAATCTGAGTACACCCTAAATGGGCTTATTATGAATCAAGTTCCCCCAGAACAAAGAGGAAGTGCTCTGTTACAGTGACATTGTACATCATAGAGCCTGGACAGAGTCATGAGCTGATGTAACTTTGACTTTTGACATCCCAAGAGACTGCTGTCTAGATAGTGCAAGGTGTTTAAGCCACTGTCTTTGATAAGTAGTGAAACAATAAATCTGACCCTGTGTTTAAGAACAGCTCAAATGTTACACAATGCTGTATCACGCTTGTGGGGTTCTGGGTTTGGGGATATTATTGTTGTGTTGTTTTTCTCCTAACCAATTAAAGGGAATACAGAATTGTGATTTTGAGGATTTCTGGCTTCATAAACACAGACCTGCTTGGGCAAGCTAAATGAAGAATGCCACACGGTGAAGGGAATATGACAAAATAAGGGTGACATAGACCTCCCAGCTATGAGTCAGTAAAGATCGGGTCTGAAAGAACACATTGCAAGTAGTCTGAATGGCTGGAGATTAGAAAGGGGAATTAGTGTGGAAAGCGGGGGATATGCTAAAAGGCTGCCGTAAACCCTGTGTTGTGACATGTATGAAAGAAACATAGGCTCACTTTTCTTGCACTTAGGGCCACTTTGCCTTTTATGACACTTGTCTTAGGGGAACAGCTACTGAAGCATACTGTGCCTGGAATGACACTGGATTTTGTTGAACAATGGTGTAAAATTCTTTTTTCTTCTCTAGAAATACTTTTTTTTTCTAAGTTTCAACACAAGGCCATTCTCCCTTTTCTTTCCACATTTTATACAAGCTGGTAGCAGTGTACATTTACATCCATTTTGGGAGGAATGTGTATGTTTTCAAATAACTACGTAACTATATTCATGTCAGAGGCATGTTCTATCCCAGGTAACAAGGCACTTGTAAATAGTCAAGCTACATGATGTGTCCTCTTGCTTGTGTCATTCCTTTTGCAGAGAACCAGAAGTAATTTTAACTTCCTTAAATGGAAAGATACACATTTTAGAAGGTGGGGAATCTACAGGTAGAGAGTAAGAGAGAGACTGGAGAGAATGCTGATAACTATACCCCAGCTCCCTCTAAATGTGAACATTTGGCACTTGCAAAGGAAGAAGCTTTCTCTGGATATTGAAGGAGAGAAACAAAGGAGAAAGAAACAGCCTTTTCTCATCACTTGAAATAATGGGCTGAAACATCTTCAGAGGACCTCAAGCTGTCCAAGGAGGGTCCTTGCTCAGTTTGTGAGTGAACGAACTCTGCCGTACAAGGAGACTCTGAGTCAGACACTCTCCAAGGAAAATGCCTATTTTCAGAGCTGAAGAAAAGGTTTGCTTGGCTGAGATACTCAATGATTTCAACACTAACTGAAATACACTGGTAATCTGCCATCTGTGATTTTCTTGAGTAGAAAATTTTGACTGAAGTCCAGGTCTTAGTAGATATGAGGCCACATTATAAAATCTATCCTCCTACTCGATATCATCCTTCATAGTGTCTTACTATGTCACTGCCTTGGGATTAAGTACCACAGCAAAGTATGGAAAATGTGGGTACTTCAGTTGCCAAGTCATTTCTTGGTCTCTACTGAATCTATCTATAGTGAATATTTCATTCCTGACATCTATTCTAGCCAAGGGATTGTGAAAGCATTTTTTTGTGTGCAATAAATTTGCATAAACACCCCACCGCAAATATAATGAAACAGAAAGGATAAGAAGGACCTAAATTATATTTTTTAAAAATATTAAAAGACTTCTTGATTGATTTGCAGAGGCATAGCAAAATTCCTTCATATAGTGGCCTCATGAATGAGATGATAATATGCAAGTAAAGCATAATGATTGGCATATTAAATACAAGATCTTTGTCACCATCTGTTTCCTGATTGTGTCAGCAAGTTGTTTTTTTTTTCATAGAAGTGTGAGAATACACCATGGCCTCGAAGTATCAAAATGTCAATTATACATCACATTTTAAAGTTGGAAGCCTAGATCACAAAAAAACATTTTGAAATGTCCCTGAATTCTGCTTGAAACACTGACAAATTATTACCTATCCTTCACATTTAGCCTTGGAGTACATTAACATGGTTATTGTGCTGGAAAGTAAAACACTGTAGAAGCCAGGTTTACAACTTAGTAGTGAATACTTAAAAAAAAAAATGATACAGAAGGAGACAGGGAAAGAACTAAGAATTCAAAATGAATAGTTTCAGAACTCTATCAAATACTTGTTATGTGAAGCTCAAGTACTTTCAGTTTTCCATTTCTGATATTTTCCATTAAAAATAATATTCACTTATAAGGAAGATAGTATTCCTTTTTCTATGTTTTCACCAGTACTGACAGGAAAGAACAAATACATCCTGGTTAGTGTAATGACTCAGTAGAAACTGCAATAGAAAACCTCTGTCAAAGCTAGCTAAAATGCAGGATGCTTTCCTTTAATACAACAGGTCTTGGTTTACACCCTCAGTGGTCTTATATGAGAATTGGTGGGAGATAATGTTTTTATGTCGCACACAGGATGAGGTCTACTTAGCACCATCAGCTACGAGTATCAGCAGCCTAGAGGTGAAGGCTTCTGATTCTGTTTTTTAAATATAAATACAAGTCCCTTCCAAAGCTGAAAAGGCCACTATTGTCTGAAGGTATTATTTCTACTAAGGGGATGAAACAGAGGGAATATGTATCATGTAAACTGATTGTTCACTCACTGAAGATACTGATAACATCATCAAATAAATGCAGTGGCCTTTAGATTTCCTTCTAGATCAATTATTATGTTAGTTAAAATAAATTATCTATGTGTAAAATTTGATGAAGAACATAATCATGTCCACCCAATCTAGCATGAGGTAAGTTGCAAGAAGAACTGTAAGAGGCCTAAACTAAAAAGTAGCCTTCCAAACTTGTACCTAATTGGACTTTTGATGGAGCATAATGAACATATTTCTTCTACCTTATAATGCCTGATTATACTAATATTAATACATGATAAGATATAAAGTGCACTCTTTAATACCGACTGCTTACGTGATATTTGCAGATGAGTTATAAATTTTTACTGTCATAAGGCAACAATTTATAACATTCAGAGCTGGTTCCAAGGGAGACTAATTCCCAAATACGGAGACTTCAAGTAACATGACATATTACACGTTTGGGATCATTCTCTGTGTCTGTGAAACAGGAGTGCATTTCAACTCTAGTAGTGTGAGATCTAGTATGTATGTGTGTATTAAGCATGCATGTACATGTATATTAATTAAAAAAATTGGGAAGATTCAATATGGGTTTTCTCACTTCAGCAGTTCTCCATGAGCAATTGTATATAGGCATCTGTTCACCAGTAATACAAGCCTTCCTACTTCAAAAGTTCGTGTAAATGATCTGTAAAGTTTCAGCAGAGATTTGTGTATTTCTAGTGGAGCAGCATGCCTTGGCAGATACCATCTCTCCATTCATCAGCAAATCTTCATCATAAGCTACTGGAAAGCAGAAGAGTAAAAGTCAGAGTTGAAGCTGTGCAGCTATAGTTTGATTGATAAAGTCTGTAGCCTGAACCTACGTATGCATATGAACCAGCACAGAGAAAAAAAAAGAAGTGAAAAAAAAAGCTCTTCTGAGAGCTTTCACGTGTGTCTGTTACCAAGGTAACCCCTTCATGTATGTCTTCTGAACAGGTACCTTTCGGGGGTCTGACTCTCAGCTTGTACAGCTCACACTGAGATGTCAACTGAAGGCAGGCAGTAAGAGTCCAGCAGGAGAAACACACTATGCAAAATAACTGGTGTATTACTAACATATGTCTGTGTATGTCTATGCTGGTGTCACTGTCTTCTCTGAAAGTGAGGTCTGAATATGTGTGTAGTAATTAAATATTTTTGAAATTTGCCTGTGAACATCAGTCTATGTCTCAGATTCTCATAGCAGGGACCGAATGAAGTTGTCAACATCCCTTTACTGTTTTTCTTTCTGTAAGTCCATTATACAATTTCTCCCTTCATCCTCCATAACATCCGTTCTAAAAACAATCTGTTTACTAACACATGAGAAATAGTTTGACTTTTTTTTTCTCTTCTGGCTGCCACTTTTTTTCTTCTTGACTGCTCTGTCAGGCATCTCAAATGAAGCAAAAACCCCGTTTGCACCTTTTTTTTTTTTAATTAAAATTTTGCTGTTTAGGACATGATCCTGAAACAAGTGACCCTAATAGAAGTTTTGTTGTCAATATCCATGTAGTTTTCTTTTCTCTCACTTCAGGGATATGTCATAGGAAATCATACACTTTGTCCCATGTATGCACTCGGTATTTTCAAAATAATGCTTTGAGGATTTCTATCATTCACTGCTCAATAATCTTCACAATAACAGAACTGTTACAGTTTGTATAGTCTATATTTTTCTAGATCTTTATATGTATTCTACATAAAAATACATTATAAAATACATTATATGTGTTACGAAATACATCTATGTTAAAATAAAGAACAAAGCGATTTTCTTAATCTTTTGATTAAAAATGCGTTACCTTCAGTAAGTTTAACATTTATAAGGTAAAATCAGGAATTAAAAACAAATGCAAGGCTCAGTCTTGCAAGTGCTTTTACTTGAGCAACTTTACTCAAAGTAGTTTTCTGAGTTCAAAGTAAATTCAGTTGAATTACCCATTTGAGTAAGACTGCTCAGATGTTTAAGGTGTTTTACCAGGATTTCAAAATAAAAGTGATGTTGCTTGAGGCTATAAATGAGTATCTGGATGTCAGTTCTCACTAAGAAAAAAAAAATCATAATATTTAGAGTTGTTCAGGAATACAAAAAAAGCTATTTGTACTTTATTCATGCTAGTTTTAAAATGAACTGGATTCAGGAATATTCACAGTTCTTTTGTGTTCCTTTCTGCAGACAATCAAGCTTCACTGGCATTAATGTTTGCTGAAATTAAATATAAAATTCAGAGATGTATTTGTAAAATGTGATAACAGTTTTATTGTATCAGAATACTTATTACAGAAACAATGCCTTGTCAGGTAATAAACCAACAGCAATTAGACAGTACCATTCAGTTCCTTTACACAGAGTATCAAAAATGTCCAAGAGAATTATTTGGGATCAATTTACAGCATAAAAAAAATAGGAAAATTAAATTATAATTTTTAATTGGTCCTTATGCTATTTTTTTTAACTTCCATGGCTTTGCATTAGAGTCCCCTCTTCTTGGAGTAAAAATCAGAATAACTTATTAGTTGGAAATTGTTTATGATGATAAGTAAGATAATTAGAATAAATGGTTAAAGAAGCATCATGACAAAGACAAGCATGTAAACCTAAAATAAAATGTAAATAGAGATCACAAGATTGAAATTAGAAATATAGTTTTGGTTTATACAATTGTACAATTATTTTACACTACATCATTAATGTGCAGAAGCAGTTCAAAATAATCAGATCAATATTATGCTCTTTACATGAAGCTACTGAGTCAGAGCAGGAAATCTGTGCCATTATGAAAACTGAGGTCTCATACAAAATACTCTATAGTTCATTCTGAGGGAAAAACCATGATGGAAGTACAGCATAACCTACCAGGAAATAAAGCTCATACGTGATACACATATACCATATACACAGATAATGTTTCATTTAAAACGATAGTAAAAGATAATGTCATCAAGGAAAACTAGTCTTTCATTTAGTTAGTTTTTTAAAAAATATAGTTACATTTCAAGGACTAGCAGAAAAACTTGATCAAAAGTGTGCTAAAACCTCTAAGACCAGGTTTAGGGTTAAGACTAGGATTAAGATAAGAAGAGGAAGAAATCTAGTGCCCTGGGAAAGGACAGGGCTCCTAAGAAGCTGAGAAAGCAAAGCATGGGCTTCTATGAGAAATCTTCCCTGCTCAGACTTTCCCATAGGACTTTAGTATATCCCGCAGCAGAATTTTCTTGCGAGGTTTAGGGTCAGTTAGGAGAAAAAAAACTCTTCCTGGGTGGATAGCTATGACAAGTGAGACCTGTTTGAGAAGCCCCAACTGACCTTATATTTCTCCAAGGAAGAACTAGAAGAAGCTGCAGCAGGGGCTTCTACCTCTTTTGCTTGCAGTGACATTAATCTGACGCCAACACTTGGCTTATGCCTGGACTATATTGCAGCTACTTTGCAGCCATGCCTGTGCCTGGGTTTATACCCTGTTGGTTTGAACTCTGACCCTGACCCATAGGCTGACCATTGGTTTGTTCATGACAGAACTAAGACTTTTTGTTGATGAGGCCATGGCTTTTGCCTACCATGCTGTGATGCTTAGCTCTCAAATTCTCCTTCCCCTGCTAAGCAGCAGCTGCCTTTATTGTACCCTGACAGAGATATGAGACCCACAGGAAAAGCAGTGTTGCAAAAATCTCAAAGAGGAAAAAGCTGGATCTTCTGTGAGAATTCTCCCAGTCACAGGAATTCTCACCAGGTTCCCCACTACATCAGTGTCCATACTTGGGGTTAAGCATAGGGTTAGGGCTATGTGGAGAACAAAAGATATGAGACTCATAAAAAGAGTGGGGCTGCAGGGAAGTTGACAAGTCATAACAGCACTGTGGGTTAATATGGGAACTCTTCCACTTGGTATTTCCACTGTGGCTTCCGTATGTTACTTGACAGAAATCACTGCTAAGGTTTAGGGTTCAGGCTAGATTTGTGGTTTCTGTTCCTGCATCATGTAGAGATCGGCATTCACGGCTTGGGAAAAAGTTTTCTCATATTTAAGCAACTGTACAGAATGCTTACCTTTTACCACTAAAGGTAGTTGTGATCTTAAATAAATGGGATTAAGAATTATGTGAATGTACTGTAAGTAAATTATAAATTTGTCTCCTGGCAGCAAAAGAAAATAATAACTTACTCACTCTACAAATCCAAGAGCGTTAAAGGACTTAGAGATCAAACAATATAATATAATATTCTCCAGTTATGATTAAAATATCTTCAGGAGAAAGATACTACTGAGCTAGATAGGCTTACATACGATACTACTTCAAAAGAAAGAGTGACGTCTGATACAATATTGACACTATAATTTTGACAAACCCATTCCATTATAATTTCAAGACTGAATACGTGCCTTTCCTGCTGTTCTTTTTTTTTTTTTTTTTTTTTTTTGCTGTGATTATTTGCTTGGTTTAATTTGGTTTGTCTACTTAGAATTTTTAGAATGGCAATGAGATGAGGTCTAAACTGAATGTAGGCATTAGACAAGAAACCTTGTAGTATATTTCAACAACCCGTATTGGATGTCATTGTTTATTTTAAACTTGAACTTAATTACTGTGAGATCCCAGGCTCTATAAAGACAATGAGTGCCATCTATAAATGCTAATATAAATCAATAAAGAGGGGGAGGTTAAGTGATTTATATTGGAGCTGAGCCACCATGTTAATAACTGGTGCTCATTATAGCCTCAGCAATGAATGGGAAATCAAAACATTAAATAGTGCAAACAAGAAGACTATCCTATTTTGCAGGAAGTTTGAGATACTCCATTCGTCCAGGTCACCCATTTTTGTCCTTTTAAAAGGTAGGTTAAATCTTGTATTTAATAGACATCTTGCCTAAGAAAAGGCTGCTGGAGTTTTCCCAATGTTTCCATGACTTTGAGTTGTTGCCAACTTTGCCTGACAAATAACAAGCATAGCTGCCAAAACTGAACTATAATATTGCTGTAAAAAGAGTATCATAGGTACAAGTTTTAGGTATGCACTGCTTTTCATACCTATAATACAGTTGACCATATTATGAATATTTCATTTTCATTACCATATATTAGTAAAATAGGACTTCAGAATTGTTTTGTATATCTCTCTTCAAGAATATAAACAAATAATTGTACTTTTGAACGTGGATTGGCACATTATGGAAGCATCAAAAAAGTCTCTGTAAGTAAGGCTGCATTGGCACTTACACTGAAGGCAGGACTAACATTTCTCTATTCAAGGTTTAATTTATTCTCCAAATTCATCAGAACACATTTTCAGATGACAATTGCACTTTTCATATAATTTTCTTAATAACTTTGTTTTAATTAGAAGAGAAAAGATTTTAAGTGCACTTTTCTGAACACATTTTACTCAAAACAAAAAAAAAAAAAGGTAAGGAAAAACCCTGTCTCCCTTAATTTCACACACAGAAAGTCTTAGAGATACCTGTTCTTTGCTAACATTTTGGAGGAGGCCAGTTTTGAAGGTTTTTCTGTATAAGTGAGAGAAATTTCATTAAGACTAACCAACTGACCTGGTGGAACTTAACTGAAAATATTGTCCTAATATCCCTATGGCAGGTCGTGTCTGAGGACTGCTTCAATCCATTCTCTAGGTGAAGCAAATCAATTTTTTAAACTTTAATTTGGGTCATTTCCTAGGCTGTGAGTTTTTTAGCCTTTTTTTTTTTTTTTTCCTCCCACAATTTGGAGTTCTTCCTTTTGCTCTCGTGGGACTCTTCCTCCATGACCAGCGTTTTGACCTATTTTGATATCTTTTTGGGGGAAGGATCTTTATTAAGATGGGAGTGAAAATAACTTCTGACTCAGCTGAAGTAAGCTTTTCGAGGAAGCGAACCTCAATGCCATGTGTTCAGACCTGCTTCTTTTTAGGTGAGAATGCAAGCTGCTTGCCAGCTCTGTTGCATTCCTTCAGTAATGTCCAGGGGGGGTTTCAGAGGTTTATCAGCCTCTTTTGTCTTTTTCATCAGTTTCTGTAATTCTACTACTAATGTTGACTCCATTCTTCAAGGGTGGTAGGCTTTCAGTTATGTCTATAGGTGTTGATACTGCATCTGGAGCTGTGCAGGAGTCAGCCGTAGCAACAATGATGTTGAAGACACACAAAGAGTCAGGCAACTATTTTCATTAACCTGAGACTAATAGTTCTAGTGTGAAGTAGGATTTGAAGCCACAAGGTCTGTACAAACACTCCCACTCTCCCACCTATCACTCTTCAAACTGTCTGCATAGTTCCTGAGCTTTGAGGAGCATTTTGACTAATAGTGCTTTACACAAATGAAGTGATCTCTCACTTGAAGGAATTTAAGTAACAGGATGCTTTCCTGCTTCTAGCAACATTTTTTTTCTCATTTAGCATCCATTTAACAATATTGTATTCTTTGCATGAAAGGATAGCTGTTTGGATATGTACAAAGATGATTTATTGTCAGGATCATTACAGTAGTGTTAAAACCAAATAAAATTCACCAACTGGCTCTTGTCTTAAACATGTGGTATCTGAGCACTTCAATGTTCTGTTCAAAGCAGATACTTTACCTTTGTTCATACAATAAAAAAATCCTCTTTACATTAATTAGTTTAGCTTGGTGTATTTCAAACTGTCATGAGCATGTCAGAAATCCAAGATTAAAACATTATATTTTACTGTCCAAACCAAGAAATAAATGAATGAAGGGGAAATATTCTAAGAATTAAAAATATTTTACTTGTTTGAATGTACTGCCCTATGCAGTTTTTTGAAACCAACAAAAAGGCAAAGTATTTTGTGGAATAATGTAGCAAAAATGACACAGTATTTGCATTTCTGAGTTTAGACTCATTTTATTTAACCTACCTTTTCTCTCTTGATCTGCATGGGATATTTTCCAGATATTAGCTGATGATATCCAAAGGGTCTTGCTCTCTTGCTATAGATTGTGTATTACTTTCAAAGAAACTCCCGGAAGTGCTAACATTGTGTGGTGCAAGAACAATGTTGGAATAAAAGGGGGAAGAAGTTCGATATCCTGGCAGTTCTGCAGTCCACCAAGTCTGTTATTTCTGTTCTGTCTTTATAATGGCTATAAAATATTATCTGGGAGTATGATGTCAATGCATCCACTTTCAATAATTGATATGATGAATAATCTCAGCCTTCTGACACCTTCTGTATCTCCTTACATCTCAGGAAACTTCATTCATCAACCACATTTGAAATGTTTAAGTAATCTCAGTGATGTATGGAGCACTGAAACTCCCTTGTTAGAAATCTATGCTACTAACATTCTATCAAATTAAAAAGCCACTGAGCTCTTGTGCATAAAATTATCATAAATTATCTCTGAAGGTTCATTGCTGTTTGGAATGTTTAATTGCTCACTCAGCTGAACTTCAGCAGCTCAAGATTATTAATCAATTTGTCAGAAGGTTTCTCATAATGTCGTCTTTTATGCTGCAGTTATATGCGTGGAAAACCCATGTGCAAGACAATTTTATGCAGCAACTCAACAGTAGCCATCCATACCTTTCATAATATTCCTTTCATATATTTAAGAGTATTTTTTTGCTTTTGATTTCTCACAGAATACTGGGAACTTATAATTACCTAAGGCTAATTTATTTGGATGGAAAACAAATTCTCCAAAACAATATTTATAAGTAAGAATGGAGACAGATAGTAAGAAAAGGACTTTTGAAGCATTTAATCCTGGCCTAATGTTGATCTCATCAAAGTAAATATTTCCACTAACTGCGGTAATAGTAAAGACCTTTTGAAAATGCCATACCTTAAGTGCATGTGAACAATTATTTTTCTTAACAAAAAAATTCCTCTTTGCTTTAAAATAGTCTTTAATGAGAAAATTTGACTTTTAGGACATACTAAAGCACTGTATTTAATGTTAATTGAAATACCTTTCATTATTTGTTTTGAAAATGTCTTTATGAATTCATCCTTTTTATACTGTTTTCTTTATTTTGTTTTACAAGTGCAGCTGTATATGAGACCTTATAGGAGCGGTGATGGTAGTATTTCTATTTATAAATTTTTAATTAATTAAATCATTTAGGAGTTTTGTGCTGCAGCACTGTAGAAACAGAGGATTCTGCCTTTCCTGCTCTAGAGAACTGAAAAGAGTTTGGAATGTTTTGGAGTAATATATTTCAGGATTCTTTAAGCAACTCCAGATATTTTCTCAAGATGAAAAAGCTTCCAAATAGATAGATTGGAAATATTATGAACATTATCCGCTTTGTTTTCCTGTGCAGGTAGGTAGAGGATGAATGCTACCATGTAGTTTCAAGTATCTATTTGATATTAGGCATACTACCAAAACCTGAAAATTAGAGAAAGTATCAGGTTTCTTGTTTGTCAAAGTTCTTTCATAAAATTAAAATACTGGAATAATAAATATATTTTTGTGTCTAAGAAATGGTTCAGGTGTTAGAAATATGCAGAGAGCTAGCATTATTATTTTAAAAAAAAAAGTCTCTTTACTGTAATCCTTCAAAGTCTTTCTTAAAACAGATGATGCCCATTAGCAGATGATAAAATGAGAAACAAAACAACAGTACAAATACATTATATCTCTATACTTTCTGACATCTGGGGATATCAAAGCACATCACAGCAAATGCGTAACAACTCCTTAGTACAGTTTCATCACCATTACCAATCTCCATTACCCATCTTCATTATACAGAATTTCTAGCACCAAGAAATAAAGATTGTCATTATCTTTGGCATTGAGTCAAACCCAAAATGATATATGGAAGATTGAGCATGAAATCTTTTGAAGAAATAGGAAGAGAAGCCAGATCCTCAGATTCCCAATAATATGTCTTAACACATGAACCCTTCCTTCATCACCCTGCTCAGCAGTGATACCTTACAGATGAACAACTGAGCTGTGATTAGATAGATCACAGGCTCTTCAGTATTTGTATCTTTTTTTGTTCTTTGCACTATACAAGTCTGCCATGGCATATATTAGCACTAGGAAAATATAGCATTGAGAAATATGGAGATGAAAATGTTTAAAGTGCACTATGAATGTGGCAGATCACAACAATTCCTAGAAATGTTCAGTTCTGTAAGGTAAGAATATATGCACTTTGTTGCTCTTCCTTCATTTTCCATTCATTGATTACTTCAAATCAATGTGGATGTGAATGTACTATTATGGATGATCCCAAACCTGCACATACCTGGATCCTGTTAACTCGTGACCTTAGTGAAAATAAACTCATCAGTAAGTATCAAGACTGTTGTAACTGTTTCCATAAATAAGTTTGAGGATCAGACACCAGTTCTGTATTGCAAAGCATCTCTGGCTTTATACAGAGAAAATGAAAGTAGTGCTGTAATTAGCTCACTAATAAACCAATGGAAGTGAATGATAGCTAACAGTCTGGATGTTATGGAAGGATGAATCATAAAGGATAGCCTAGTAAAATAAAGAATAAGAAAAATAATAAGATAGAGTCCTCAGCTTTACTTATCTTTATAATCTTCCTGTTAGTTTCTTCTGTTATCACAACTCCATCCCTCTTCTCACTTAATCATTACAGCTAGAATAACTTCCATTGTAATTCAAATATTTAGACTGACTCCCTGGTGATTAAGTTTCTTTATCATTTATATCAACTTTGAGCCTAAACCAGGTATTTATGTAGGTGTCAGTCTTTCCATGCCCAGAGACGTGTATGTTACAAGTAAATATTGGTGCAGATTATGTTTTTCCATGTGTCAGAGCATCTAAAGTAACACACTAATGCATACTTGCATATCAGAAAGTGTGTTAGCCTTTGATGTACATCTTCTCAGTATATGACTCGTTAATTTAATAGCTCCATTATGTTAGTCCAGGTGTGACATATACTTTCGTGTATGCATGAAAGGTTGCTATGAAAAGTTTACTTGATGTATTTAAAATCTTAAAATTTTATTGGTCATCAATTCATATGTATTTTTAGACATTAATGACATTATTTATTTATTCTAGAAACTGAAATCTTGAACACCATATTTTAACTTAGGACAATCATTTATTTCACTGTCCATTGGAGTCAATCTCATTATTATGTACTTGTCCATGTGTATACCAATATTCTTTCATTGAGAAAGAATAAGTAGTGACCACACAAAAATCAGTTCCAAAGAATTCAGTTCTCAGTGTCTTTTGAAGCACTGTACCTCTATGCACCCTCAGGAGGCTCAGAAGAAATTGTCTATGCAGTTGATTTCTGAAGCTTGAACTTGCATGGTCCCAGACTCTCTTTGAAACTCTTACACTTGCCTTACAGTAGTACTGCATGATGGCTAAAAGGTAGCAGCTGCCTCACTGGCGGATAAACAAAGCTAACAGAGTAGATCAGTTTCCAGCAGTAGTTATTTTAGATTTGTACGTTTAAGAGAATTAGGAAAAATAAGTTGCATCTCCTATCATGGTGAAAGAGACCAGATTAATTCAGATCTCTCTGGATGGTGCAAGTCATCCATGAAAAGACATAAATCAAACATTACATTTATTTATTTTTTTTTCTGGGACATAGCAAACATTACCCTTCTAAAAGCTGCAGGGACATTATAGTAATTTTCCATTGACACATCTTTTCTCTTTCATTCCTTTAAAATGCTTATAGCAGATAAAAATGATCATTCCTTCATCAGATGTCCTTGAGAGGGAGTATAGGTGAAAAAAAACTTTGCATATAGAAGAATTCTTCTGGGTAATAAATCTCATGTCTGAAAGTATGGTTCTTCTAAGAATCCTGGTGATTTACAGACCCCTTCACAAGGATGCTGATGTGAAGGGTGAGCAGGCACAGGTTATTTCTGACTGCATTCATCCCTACATCCAAAAACATTTCAACAAGCCATATTAACTTACATGCTTAAGAACACAGAATTTTTCTTGGGTTTCTATAATGGTACTGCAGGCTACCCCTGCTTATCTTGACAGGTAGAATAGTGGTCAGTCATTAATAGTTATCATCAGGCTGTTTAGACAGTGGGGGACATTTTCATCAAAAATGAAACCAAATTTAATTAGTGGATGAGGCTCTTTCCAGAGCTTATGCTTGCAGATAAGGTGCCTTAACAGCTAGGAATGAAGCGACAGATGGAAGTGCGGATCTTCTCAAACTCATGAGGTTCCACTGTATTCATACCACCAAATTAGCAGGAACCGCATGGATGGATGAATGTGTCGCCTTTGTGGCTTCTACCATTTCTCTTCTATGTATAATAGGTCATACAAAGGTGGTCCATGCCACTAGAAGTGAAAGTTAATCATATCCTTTGAGATTCCAAACCATCTCTTCTCACTGCCAGAAAGTACAACAGTGATCTCTGTGGAAAAAGCTGATCCTGATAAGAGGCCAACCAATTGAAAATCATGTTTTAAAGCTGATTATGCCTGTTTAAGAGATACAAATGGCATGCCAGATGAACAGAAAAGCAGACAGGCTGTACCCATCTTGATTCCAGCTTCCACAGCTGGACAGAAACAATATGGTGCCAGTACCATTTCCTGCAGAGATACCAACATCACGCCTTCAAGCCCTGTAGCATTCATAATGTACCTTATAGGTCTGCTGTTCTTTTCTGGCACTTCAGTATGTTGTATCAGTATATAATGCTCTGCTGATAATGACTATGGAATTTTCTGTCATTTCTGATACTCTCTAAAAGCTCCCTAAACTCTGCAATGAGTAAAGGACTCAATCCTATAAAGTGCTGAATTTTCTTAAACATTAATAATTCTAGTTACATTTTTTGAGAGAAGAAAATTGGCCAGAAGCACTAGTTGGACAAGTGCTCTGTTGAGATCTTGATGTTGTTCCACATAATAAGACATTAGTGTGGAATGACTCCAAGCTTTCTTCTGCTGCTTATGTTATTTCAGTGGTACTTCCTTTGATTTACCCAAGAAATGTTTTGTTTCAGTTAATGTTTATGATTGACTTCATGACCTAAGCAGCACAGAGAATGTATTGAAATATATTCTCATTGTTTGTGGGTGTTCAGTCTAATTATGTCATCCATAAAAATAAACAGTTTTGCATGTGTGCCAGAAATCAAGTTTTTATCACTGCAATTCAGAA